TGTCTATCCAGAGAGATATCTTTTTAAATACATTACAGACGATAATCAGTTATTAAACATAGAAAACAATTCGGATGAACAATTAAGTAAGTACTTAGAGTCAATTCCATTAAAGACTGATAGTGATAATGAAGATAGCGTGGAAGATGAAGTTTTTAGGTCTGTTTATTTAGTGAGATCGTTGAATAACCTTGATGAGAGGGATTTCCAAAAGTTCTCTGAAGGGAAAGTCAATACCTTGAAGGATTTAGTTGATACCAAAAATGTAAATTCTGAGAATGGCATAGATGATGAAAACGGCAAAGAGCAAGAAGGTGACGAAGTGAATGATTCTGTCGAACATTCAAGTGAGGAATATGACTCGGAAGAAGACTCGGAAGAAAGTGACTCGGAAGATGACGACGAAGACGACGAGGAGTTGCCTAAGAGGAAGAAAGAGTGGGTCGAAAGAGAGGATGTTACTCCAAAAGGTAAAAAGTACGAGGATAAGGAAGAGAAAAAAGCAAGAAAGGAAGCAGCAAAGACCTTGAAACAAGAGAAAAGAAAGACCAAAATGAAGAAGCATGTCAAAAAGAAAATCATCAATAAGAGAAAGGCAAAATGATATGTTATAACTGCATTTACATAACTACAGATTTGTACGGAAATTCTATAGACTAATAAATATATTAATTATTTACAAGTATATATACGCAGATGTATTCAGTCCATGATGCGACAAGGCATATTTTGTATACTCAGAATATTTCTCCGTTAGAAGTTGAACCTCATAGTAATAATGTTTAGTCAGTGTGAATGGCGATAGAAAAATACAAGAATAGACGAGAGGAATATTTGTTAGAAGTGGTTACTATTGGAATACCAAATGGACTTGGCCCGATTTGCAGCCATTCCGGGTCCGGATGTTGAAAACTAAATAGAGTCAACGATGAAATAGAAAAAAATAACTCAAGAAAAAGTAAATTAATCAATGTATAACATAACATTAACTATTAAAAGAACACATTATGATACACCATTTTAGCTATGTGAAGTTATCCTAGTAAAGTCTCTTGGCTGGTTAAAAATTCTAAAACTTTTAAGCGACGCGCCGGGTAACTGTGTCCACCCAAGACACTCCCAAAAATAAACATATTATAATACTACTCCATAATTGAAGAGTTAATCCCAATACTTGAATCACATTCAATAATAGTTGATACTATTCATCAATTTATTGTGTATTGAAATTATAGAAGGATTTGAAGCATTGATTGACTACGTTTCAACCGGTATTTAATATAGAATAGAGAATGGAAGAGTTTTTAAAAGACAGTCCATCAGACTTTGGCTCTAACACAACAGGTACTGGAACGGGCAATACTAGTGCTAATTATGGTAATGATCCAAATAATAGAAATAACTACGGAATAGGCTATTATGGAAATAATTATGGACAACCTAACCGGTACCCAGAGGTGGCGGACAACGATATTAACAATTCAAACAATAATTATGTCAACGACATGGGAACCTATACATCTTCATTACAGAACGATCCTTTTTTGGAAGATTTGGAGTCGCTTAACTTTTCAAATAAAGAACCACAGTATATCAATCCTACCCAATCAACTACTGGTAATCTAGAAGAAATTATATCCCCAAGCGCCCAAGTGCAGAATATTTCTTTCAATAACAATGGGATGAATCCAGACAACTCGTTTGTCAATCCACAATATTTTTCCCCTTCTAACAGAAATGCAAACTATAATACATTGAATTCGATTGCTGAAGACAGTTTGTCAAGCTCATTTAATAACGCATTCAGCCCTTCTGCGTCGAGAAACGATAGTGTAAGTATTCCATTTCAGAACCCGAATACTATTGAAGACTACAATGGAGGGGTTGATATAAATGCTGGCTCATATTTATCACCACAATTCAATTCACAATACATGTCGCCAAGCAATAATATTGATAATTCAATCGATACATTAAAGTCTCCTTCGTTTAATTCGGGTTCATATCTCAACTCACCGCCTAAATACCAAAACACAAGGCGTGATAACCTGGGCACCATAAGCAACAGTATCCCTAGCAATATATCGAAAAATAAGGTTGTATCGCCGCCTCCACTAGACAACAGTTTGGGCACCTCGCTACCAGGTACTATGCACAACCAACCACCAGTTTCTACCAAGCAACTTAGTAAGGAAGAAAAACTAAAAAGAAGAAGAGAGTTCCATAATGCTGTCGAAAGAAGAAGACGGGATTTAATTAAAGAACGTATAAAAGACTTAGGCTTTTTGGTGCCACCATCGTTATTGAACCCACAACTATGTGCTGTGAAAAACTTACAAAGAAACTCACAATTGAACTCCCGTGAAATCAATGACTTGCTTGCTTCAATAAAAGTCAAAGAGACAAAACCAAACAAGAGCACCATCCTTAATAAATCTGTCGATTACATAATCCACTTAAAATATGTGCTAGAACAACAAAATAAGAGCCAGCTTGAATTGGCACAACAAATCGAAGAGATTGAAGCAAGGATGAATAACGGAGGAACCCAAGGAAATATAGATGTGTCAAAGATGACCGACCAATCCCATCCATCGTCAGACATCAAACTTGAAAGTCAAGATGAATTATTTAATCCTGATGATTTTTTCCAGGATGTTGCCGGCAACAGCTCTAATCAGGCTAACCAATTCTTTAGCGATAGTATACGATAGTAATCTGAACTCTTATTCAATTAAATTCATTAATAGTTATGTTATGGTGATATTATAGATTATATAAATGCTATAAATTATGCACGTGATCAATCAAACCTCATATCGATAGCATTATGAGAAGTAGAGGTATCAGCTACTCTAATCAGTAAGAGGTTTAATACTAATGTCAGAACCAGAAAGTGCATTTAGACAACAGTTTAGCAGCTGGAGTAACAACAACAATAATAGTAGTAACACTAGAACTTCATTACCGCCATTTTCTAGTTGGTCGGACTACATAAAGACAAGTGCTAATGATTTGTATGTATCATTGCCTTCGTATAATACAGGAGCACAACAGGCAATAGAAGAGCCATCATGGTTCAAGCTATCTCGATTTGAGAAGATGCTAGGATTCGCTTGTTGTTTAGGAGGATCTGCTTTATGCTTTATTATCAGTTTCTTTTTATTCCCTGTGTTGGCATTAAAACCTAGGAAGTTTGGCCTCTTATGGTCCATGGGATCATTTTTGTTTGTGATATCATTTGGAATACTACAAGGGCCTTACCATTACACTAAGCATTTGCTTTCGAAAGATAGGATAGTGTTTACATCTGTCTTTTTTGGGTCGGTGTTATCGACCATGTACGCAGCAGTGATCTTGAAGAGCACTTTACTCACAATATTTTGCTGTGTGATCGAAATCTTCGCTGTGCTATATTACACTCTCAGCTACTTTCCATTCGGTGCGCAAACGGTTACCTTCTTTACGAGCTACATAGTTGGATACGTTGGTGGTTTACTTGGTGGTTTACTATAGACAATATATAGCTACACACATCTTAATTCATAATTTTTCATCATTTAATTGTGCTTGTAATTTTTTGTGCAATTCTTCCAACTTAGGGAAATCAGTTTCAGCTGCTGGCCATCCAACTCCTAACCCAGTTGCCTCATCCCTTTTAGGAATAAGATGGAAGTGAACATGATCCACTATCTGATGCGCAATACGACCGTTGTTCTGTAAAACATTGTACCCTTCGCCATCTGGTGTATTGTTTTCATCCAACTTGAGCAACTTAGCTAACTTTTTAGTAACTGGCAATATGTCTGCCAAGTATTCGTCCGGAATATTGTGCAATTTGGCTCCATGGTACTTAGGAATAATCAAACAGTGTGCTTCGGCAGTTGGTTGAATGTCCAAGAAGGAGTAGGTGAATTTGGTTTCAATTAACTTGAAAGATGGAATTTCTCCTTTGATAATTTTGCAGAAGATACACGATGCGTTAGAGGCTGACATTTTATCACTTTGAACGTACTTGGTACTATTCGCTTCTTAGCAATTGTTCTTAAAAGCAAGTCCGATAAGATTCGGATATTATCATCAGAAAGTGAAAAGTTACACAAAACTCCTGATGCGAAATAGGGTGGCGAACTTACAGCAGTTTCAATACAGGGTGATTTATAAACCGAAGAAGTATTTAGATCTTTTCAACATAATTGTTTTTCAATATTTCTTTTAATTAATATAAAGTACGAATTAGTTGAATAGGGTAAACCAATTGACGAAATAAAGATGCCGGACGATAAAAAGAACTTACTAGACGCTTCTGGAGCACAAACCGCTGAAGATAGAACAGCAACCGCTATCTTGAGAAGAAAGAAGAAGGATAATGCATTGATTGTGGATGATGCCGAAAATGACGATAACTCTGTTATTACCATGTCATCTAACACAATGGAATTGTTGCAATTATTCAGAGGTGACACTGTGTTGGTCAAAGGAAAGAAAAGAAAAGATACCGTGTTAATTGTATTGGCAGACGACGATATGGATGATGGCGTTGCTAGAATTAATAGATGTGTCCGTAATAACTTAAGAGTTAGACTTGGAGACATTGTGAGCATTCACCCATGCCCAGACATCAAATATGCCAACAGAATCAGTGTTTTGCCTATTGCTGACACGGTAGAAGGTATAACCGGGTCACTTTTCGATGTTTACTTAAAGCCATACTTCGTCGAAGCATACAGACCAGTCAGAAAGGGGGACTTATTCACTGTCAGAGGTGGTATGAGACAGGTTGAATTCAAGGTTGTTGAGGTTGATCCAGAAGAGATTGCCATCGTCGCCCAAGACACGATTATTCATTGCGAAGGTGAACCAATTAACCGTGAAGACGAAGAAAACAACATGAACGAAGTTGGTTACGATGATATTGGTGGATGTAAGAAGCAAATGGCCCAAATTAGAGAATTAGTCGAATTGCCATTACGCCACCCACAATTATTCAAATCTATTGGTATTAAGCCTCCTAAGGGTATTTTGATGTATGGTCCTCCAGGTACTGGTAAGACTGTCATGGCAAGGGCTGTTGCTAACGAAACAGGTGCATTCTTCTTCTTGATTAATGGTCCAGAAATTATGTCCAAGATGGCAGGTGAATCTGAATCTAACTTGAGAAAAGCATTCGAAGAAGCTGAGAAGAATTCGCCATCCATTATCTTCATCGATGAGATTGACTCTATTGCTCCTAAGAGAGACAAGACAAATGGTGAAGTCGAAAGAAGAGTTGTTTCTCAATTATTAACTCTTATGGATGGTATGAAGGCTAGATCTAACACTGTTGTTATTGCTGCGACCAACAGACCAAATTCCATTGATCCAGCTTTGAGAAGATTTGGTAGATTTGATAGAGAAGTCGATATAGGTGTTCCTGATGCAGCTGGTCGTTTGGAAATTTTGAGAATTCACACTAAAAACATGAAATTAAATGACGATGTCGATTTAGAAGCCATTGCTTCTGAAACCCACGGTTTTGTTGGTGCTGATATTGCTTCGTTATGTTCAGAAGCAGCTATGCAACAAATTAGAGAAAAGATGGATCTTATCGATTTAGAAGAAGAAACTATCGATGCAGAAGTTTTGGATTCATTAGGTGTTACCATGGAAAACTTCAAGTTCGCATTGGGCAACTCCAACCCATCAGCATTACGTGAAACTGTTGTTGAAAATGTCAATGTTACTTGGGATGACATTGGTGGTTTAGATACCATCAAGAATGAATTAAAGGAAACAGTTGAATATCCTGTTTTACATCCAGATCAATACCAAAAGTTTGGTTTATCACCTTCTAAGGGGGTATTATTCTATGGTCCTCCAGGTACTGGTAAGACATTGTTAGCCAAGGCAGTTGCTACTGAAGTCTCGGCTAATTTCATTTCAGTTAAGGGTCCAGAATTATTGAGTATGTGGTATGGTGAATCAGAATCTAATATTCGTGATATTTTTGACAAGGCGAGAGCCGCAGCCCCAACTGTTGTCTTCCTTGATGAATTAGATTCTATTGCCAAAGCTAGAGGTGGATCTCATGGTGATGCTGGTGGTGCTTCTGACCGTGTTGTTAATCAATTATTAACTGAAATGGATGGTATGAATGCCAAGAAGAATGTTTTCGTCATAGGTGCAACTAACAGACCTGATCAAATTGATCCTGCTTTATTGAGACCTGGTAGATTAGATCAATTAATTTATGTTCCATTACCAGATGAAGTTGCTAGATTGTCTATTTTACAAGCTCAATTAAGAAATACTCCATTAGAACCAGGCTTAGATTTGTTAGAAATTGCCAAGATCACCAATGGTTTCTCAGGTGCAGATTTATCATACATTGTTCAAAGATCTGCTAAGTTTGCCATTAAGGATTCTATTGAAGCTCATATTAGATTACAAAAATCTAAGGCAGATTCCAAGCAAGGTGATGATGTTGAAATGACCGAAGAATCAAAACCTGCAGGTGAAGAAGAAGAAGAAGAAGAAGAAGATCCAGTTCCTTATATTACTAGAGCTCATTTCGAAGAAGCTATGAAGACAGCTAAGCGTTCTGTCTCTGACGCTGAATTACGTCGTTACGAGGCTTATTCTCAACAAATGCAAGCTTCTAGAGGCCAATTCACGAACTTTAGATTCAGTGAAGGTGAAGGTAATGAAGGTGCTCAAACCAACTCTAATGGAAATGAAAATGCTGCTGCTTTTGGTAATGTTGAAGAAGACGATGATTTATATAGTTAGTTTGTTTATGAACAATTAGTTCGTCTTGTCTTTATATAACTTAAAAATACTGGCTATTATTTCTTTTTAATACTATATTACAAATGTTTCTATTTTTTTGTATGAAGTGGAGTTCATATTTTGTTCCGTTGCTGCGAAAAAAAAATTTTTAACACCGATTTAAGGGATTTTTTCAATATTCTTGTTTTCCTTAGGTTTGATCAAGTAATATATATTTTATTATTAGGCATTATAGCCTTTACATGCATTAGAGTAGGCATTATATTGTTATCTAAATTAGAAGTGGGTTCAAATTGAAATCACGTATTTGATAAATTATTGACTTACTAGCATTATCTCCGGAAGATAGTGGACTCAAGAACATCATGAAGCAATTTGCCAATAATGGAGTTTTATTCATGCTTGCACCAGCATTTCTTATTGCATCTGATTTCATAGCTACGAAGTTTTCAGGAACGAAGGCAGCAACCCAAATAACGTCTAATAAAGGGGGTTCAATCTTTATGAATCATGTTTATGGGACGAAATTTTACAATACCAACTTTAAGAGATTTCCAGATCCAAACAATTCTTCCAATAGTAAATGGAAATAGTTTAATATCTAATAATCACGAATAGGCCTCGTCTGAGCCTTCGATAATTTTTGCATTTACCCTCCGAACTTTACAAAATAGTTCTATAATCTATTCTAATTTAAATCTAATATCTTTCAATTTCCCGAATCGTCTTGAGTGTTGATTCTATGACCATGCCATGATTAAATATGTATATATGCTACTTAATACCGAATATTCATTAATTCAAACAAAATTATATTTAACATTAAAATTGTATAAAACCCAAAAAATCATTTATTCTTTTGTCTACTTGTCTTTGGAACTCTAGCAAGCCAGTAGAAAAAAATAGTACCTATGATGTTGATAGCGATAAAACATACAAAAATACCAATATCACGACTTTTCTTACTATAATCAGCTCCCACTTGTTTCAAATATACATTTGTTGAAGCTACTGTACAATACTGGCAAATATTTGTATTAGCATCGGAAATCAAGTAACCACCTGCAAAACTCATATAAGTTTCCATGTATTCACCACATGTTTTTCCATCTTCAGGCTTGAATCTTAATAACTCATTAGGGGCACAAGTAACATCCGAATCTGCAAGCGCAACTGATAAAATTGCAGACACCAAATACGAAAAAGGATTACACCTGTACATGAAAATCCAAAATCTAGGCATTGCATCTGAAGAAGCCAAGATACCACAGAAAGTTAAACACATTGTGAATAACAAGGATGCTAGATTTGCTGCATTATCGGCTAATTCATTAAAGGAAATACATAGTTGTGCCATAGTAGAGCAATAGATAAAGAACAACACAATAATAATCCACATCAATGCACCTCTTTGGGCTACTGTATCAGTAGGTTCCGCATTCCTATAAAGACCAATAGGGTAATACCAACAGAAGAAAGCTAGGGTTCCTGAAAATATTTGCCATGGAATCTCCGCTGTGATTTGAGCGGTAATGAATGCGATCCACGACAAAGTTCTTGATGGTCTCTCTCTAACTTCATATAAATCCCTTTGGGCAACAAAATGAGGTAAGTATTGCTGAATTAAGGTATTGAAGATAACGAAGAAGATAAAAACCGAAAACATTTGGTTTTGCAAACCCTGCAAAGATTTATCAGCCTTGAAGAAAGCAAATCCATTGAACAAAGATGAAAAGATAGACATTAATACTTTAGAATAAGTATATGAAGGTGTTCTCCAATATTGTTGGAAAACTCTGTGGGTGACATGTTTATATTGATACCAAAATGGGGCGGCATATGTCTTCATAGTCTCAGGTGAATCATCCTTTGGTCTTCTTACTAATTCTTGTTCCATTACATCTAACTCTTGATTGATTGCAATATACTCAGAAGAATTTTTCCACACATCGTAGTAGTCTTGATTTGCATGACTTCCTGGTGCTGCACCGATAACCTCTAACATCCATTCAGCTGGGTTGGCTTCTGGAGAACATTTTGGTGCCCCGTACTTTTCAAAATAATCGATCAAGGTTTCACAGTTATCCCCAAGATCACCATAATACACAGTCTCACCACCTTTTTGTAAGAATAATAATCTGTCAAATTCTTTCAACAAAATAGCCGATGGCTGATGAATCGTACACAAAATGGCTTGTCCATGGTCAGCTAACTTACGGATCAACTTACATATAGACCATGCTGTTTGTGAATCTAAACCGGAAGTTGGTTCATCAAGGAAAACTAACAATTTTGGTTTTGCAACTAACTCAACCCCGATGGTTAGCCTTTTTCTTTGTTCAACATTCAATCCTTCACCAGCTACCCCTACCACGGCATCT